GTCACAGAACATAGTACACATTACATCTGAGCACTTGTGCTCCTCGGGTTCCACACATTTGCAGATGTCGCAACCAAACCCATCTTGTTGGAAGCCCTCTTCACAATACATGGTACACATAGCCTCCGGGCACTTGTGCTCCTCGGGTTCTACACACTCACAGATGTCGCATCCAAACTCGTCCTGTTTGAATCCCTCTTCGCAGTGCATCATGCACATGACATCCGAACATTCATACGCGTCGCTAGCTTGAGGTTTGATGTCCATTTCGCTATCACGAATTGTAGGACTGGCCATGGTTGACAGGGCCATAGATGCCAGAACGGCAACAGCAACACTTGTGGTTCTCATTTTTCGAATAGTTATCGTTGTTGATTAGTGTAAATACTAAATTTCTTCGATTGAGACATGGCGCTTTTATACAACGATGAGAGTTGTATCGTGTACACAAGTGTTGGAAAACGCATACAATAAATACATAAATAACTTTGATCATTCCTGGGTTTTTGCTCTCCGTGAGAGTATTGTAGGCTTGTAGCACTCCCGTCGTATCCTTTATGAAAGAGTAGGAGTTAAGAGTAGACCCACGAACATCCGGCCATCCGGCACCCGCCGACGCCGCGTGCCGACATCAGAGTACAGAGTACAGAGTAGCAGGAAACCAAATTTTTTATGGTATGTACATACAGAAATACGTATTTTCTACGTATGTAAATATGTATGCATTCATACATTGAGCTTTTTTTTTGGTTTGAAATATGATGCATATGGTGCACACAAGTAAGAACCGGGGTCTTCCGGTCGAGTTTCAAACACGTATAACTTTTGAACCAACCATATTTTATTTTAAATTTTTGAACCAGGGCACTCGGCTTTTGGAGAGCTATCCAAAACTGCAAAAAAAAATAGTTCCGCCAAATCACTATATTTCGTGCCCCAGAAATCTGGGTCACCACCTTAGCCAAATTCTGAAATTGCAAAATCTCAAAATGTCAAGCTGAAAAAGCTTTATTTGAAAATTTTCCTTCGAATATTGACCGTCAGAATATTCTGAGAATTGTTGTCCTGGATGAATCCCTGGTAGGGAGTCCAAATCCGAAGAGTTTGAAGCTCTATCCATATCGCAACACCTTCGTTAGCCTCAAAAAGGTCGATTTTGGATGTATGGCCAAATCAAAAAAAAATGTATTTTGAAATATTGGTCGTATCAAAAAATATACCAGCTCACCTTTTTTTAGGACGATGAGATCAGCCCAAATCCGTTGAAAAAAACCTGATTTGAGTATTTTTTTCGAGGTGTCCCATACTCCTGAACATAGGGGTCCGGAAGACCCCGGTTCTTACTTGCGTGCACCGTATGTGCATATTTTATTCAAAATCGATAGTTCGATACCTAAGCTCAAATGTGTTAAACGTTAAAACGTTTGTTATATGCCGATATAAGCGTTGAAGTTCAATTTTTATTACATACATGGTCCTATGGATTTCAGATGGGGTGTAATTTCTAGGACCGCAGATTTGTTTTAGGGGTTTAGGCTGTTGAGCACGCCAAATATGACCGGGCTTCGAGTTCCTATTCTCTATTGGCTATGGCAACCGAATAATATATACTCATTCCTCAGTTCTCGACTTCTCGCCCCTTTTTGAGAATTAGCACTGTATTCAATCAAAATCACAATCCACTTGTATTTGCGGAAATAGTTTGCTGATAAATCCGCAGGCGCAAAGTTATAGTCAAAAGTCAAAACAGGCCGTCGATTGGGAATTGGGATATGCGTCATCAAAATCATGGCGAGCATATGATTGGTCAACACTCTCAATATAGCCCATTTCGTGGATTTTAGGTGCACATTCGAAGTGCAGTTTTTAAAATTTTGTTGGGCATATTTGAGCTACATAGCCGTTTTAAAGTATATAGAACATGAAAATAGGCTTTAAGGTTCAATTTTAATTTAGCATGCACTTGACGTAATGAGCTTAGTTCGATACTCTTGTATCTGATGCAGTGATGAATCAGAGCCTTTCAGAGGTCCCTAAAGAGTGAGATGTGCTGAGGACAGACCGAGACTTGATCGGCTGAGGCGCTGAGCGCCTGAGTTTCAACTCTCATGAAAATATTTTATTTTTTAAATGGTTTTTTTAAGTTTACTATTTTTTAGAGGCTTTGTTTCGCTTTTAAAAAAAAACAATAGCAAATTTAGAATTTCCAGTAGGCCAGTACATACTTACGTAGATATTTAATCCTATAATTACGTTATGAGGGTACGGAATAGAAGTTGAGTGTAAAAGCATATTTATTCAATTTCAAAATTTTATAACGGTTTGAACGTGATCAGAAGGTCCTACCTAAGACTGATTCGTATCTTAGAATCGGTACACACCACTTAACTCACACTCACAGGCTCACCAGTTACACAATATAATCATTACAAATATCAATATTAATATTTTTTTCTAAAAATCAGCATTTGCTTTACTTTTGTTTTTGAAAATTTAGATACATATACATAC